GTACAATCCTCGAACTCCGTAGCTCAAATGACTATCCCCATCATGGTAAAAACTACACTCGTAAACGGTGGTATGCTGCAATGTAACGCATCCACGACCTTCAGAGGGCGAGGCAAAAGGTGCGACCACGTCGCCATTGCGACCCTTTGTCTTATTTAAAGAGTAAACTATGTGTATAATCAAATGCACACATGGAAAGAAAAACATATAAGACTGACGTCTTTTCAGAAAACAACACTGAACTATATTTTAAAGTCTAATATTTAACTCTTTGAGCCCCAGGGAGTTAGGTATCTCGAGACTCAAAAAAGACATAAAATGAGCGCATCGTGCATTCATTGGGTCTCTAAATAAGTACCTATGAACGTATGATGCCTTCCGTGGGTCTCAAAGAGGATAACGAAAACCACACCTAAATCAGTTAATGATATAACTAACTTCACACCCAGAAAAATGTATACAAATATCTGTCGTGTGCGGAGAGAATAACAATGAAATATACAGTTGGTGAATAAAAGCAGAACAATAAACACCCCTGCATCTATCGTAGACTGTCTACATAAACCTTACCGTACATTCTCCTGAGCTTTGATCTTTAATTCACATTTAAAGTGATTCGGGTCTACATCTGTAGGAACTGAGCAACTAAAATATACGAAAAACTGTGCTTCATAACAGAATCAATTACATTAGTAATCATGTGGCTCTAACCGGTAACAGCAAATGTAATTTAAACTAAGGTAACTTTAAGGACAGTTCTAACGACTGTTGGACAAATAGCATAAGGAGTTAGACTTGGGAAACCGCGCGTGGTGTAGTGGTAGATACTTGCCTGCGGATTAGGAAGTGGTGGGTTCGGGTCCTGACGGAGCTTGAATTTTATTTTCAAAAATGACTTTGGCTTACATGTCGACCCAGCCTTGAGTAGGTACCTGGTACAGTCCTGTGAAGTAAAGGCGGCCGGTGTGATGCTGTTGATGCTGTCCACATTACCCACCCAGTGCTGATTGGTCTATAAAATATAGATCTAGCCCTATATGCCCAGTACGCCTAAAGATGTGGAAAATTATCTTTTTTTTTTAACTTGCTACATGAAAGACGATGTAGTCAAAATCAGGCTGACCATCCTTACTTCCAACGATATTTCATAGTTCCTAGTAATTTTAGACTAGATAAACTTGGAAATTTGGGGGCAACAATAACATTCCGTCTCTATACGTATTCGAACCAATTACCCGCTGGCTTGTGTGCGAGAGTCTAACCACTGCTCCACTACAGCTCTCAAATGTAACAGAACATAGAGAATAAAAACACATAAATTATTTGTCGTAATGGCATTCTTAGTATTTGTAATCAGAAGAAAATACATGTAATAGAGATATAGAACAAACCTAACATGCGCACTGTTTCCACATTATGTAGTTTTAATTTATCAGTTTAAGAAAAGATAAACTACTGCAAGCAGTTACCAGTATCTGCCGTTGCCTCTTGACAAGACTTTTCTAGACAAAGCATTACGGTCTGCTGTGTTTGTACGTTGTTGTTGTGGTTGTTATTCGAAGTATGCTTCGTTAAAAAGAATGTGCGTAACCGATGGTACAATTTAAACGTTTTGAAATAAATTATGTCTGTATTCCATAGTTGTGGATTTCAAGCTGTACTTTAAACATAACAACGAAGACATCCTTTGGAAGGGAAGGGGAAAGGGGGGAGTGGCTGGCTGGCTTGTTGTATTCTTAGTACGTTTGTCTCCATAGCGAGGCGCACACGCCATCTAGAAGTGACAGGTTCCATTCCCGGCACAGTAACTATAGCGTTCAATTTTCTACTTCTTTCTGTGAGTACGAATCAATACATTGTCTCTTTGTTAATTATATACGTAGTGACTAGACACTCACCAGTCGGTCTGGATGCCTTAGGTTCGAGTCCACATCCAGTCGGAATTTTTTCACAAATTAATTCTGGCTCATAGTCATTGGAAGTAAAGGCGGCCGGTGTGATGCTGATCTTATGCCAATCTTATGTCTATAATATAGGTCTAGCCCTATACACCTAGTACGCCTGAAAGGCGTGGAAAAGGTCCCTTTACTTTACTATTCTGGCTCCTAGGTTGACCTAGCCTAAAACGAGTACCATATAAAGTCCCAAACGGTAGAGGCGGCCGGGGTTATGACGACACATCACCCAACAAGTTCCCACTGATCAATATAAATGTGAGTCTGGCATAATTTGACCAGCTGGACATCCGTACCCTCATTTGACTGCAGGTTACACCAGTCTGTAACGGTTACACTTGTGTAACCGTTACAGATGCTCCCAATTATAACTGAGGGTTTGAACAGGGTATCTAAAATCGTATGTATTGGTCTAACATCCAGACTAAGATTTTTTTTTCAGGATGGTATAGCAAACTATTTAGCAGCCCGGGCAAGAGGGGAAAAAGGGGGGGGGGGGTGGAAGAGGAACTAACTATTCGATCGATACGCCCAGTGGCGTAAAAAGGAAAGTGCACCCATTTTTTTTTTTTAACTTACAAGCATTCAACAACATGAATAGACACAATATACACAAACATCGTACGAGAAAATAATGCAGCAGTAACAAAAACAATAGAAATTGAAATATTCCCATAAAAGATTGATCTTAAGACTTAGTTCATTATAAAAGGAGGTCAATGTGTCACAGTGGTTGTAAGGGCATATATACTTGCAAATATGATTTGGTGTTAGTGTCATTCTCAACAAATGACAGAGGTAGAAAAACAAGTATAGCAGTAACGTTTTCTTATTAGTAAAACATTGAAGAAAAAAAAAGTTTTTTTAAAGTAAAAATAGCATTAGTTTTTCTTGCTGAAGACATTATTATTGCTGTTTCTGCAATTGCTACTATTATTGTCTTTGTCTTTTCTGCTTTAATTCCTCCTACTTTATAGAGTAACCTTTTTTTTCTCCTTTGATTTCTTTTTACTCAAACTTTAGATAATCGGAATTAGAACCTCTTTTGGATAGAAAGATTACCTTAATTACAACATGGTATTGGAAAGATTAGTTAAACCAGCTTAGTGTTCATAACCGTTGATATATATTTATTGTATTAACATTATTTTCGTCTTCATCTTCACCATCTCCTCCTCCTCCTTCTTCTCCGTCTCCGTCTTCTTGTTCTTTGTAATGGGGGATATTTTCACCCTGATTGCAAGGTTGGGGGGAAAGCCCCAAGCTAACAATAATACAGAGAGAAGCCAGATACTCGGATTACCCGAGGTTTTCAAGATAGGGGACAAACACGAGCTATCACGTGGAACCCCATGAGAACGACAACAGGTCGCCACTTGGAACCCAAGAACAACCACGTGTTGCCACGTGGAACGAACACTGGGTATGTGTACAGACCCCAGTCTGGTCAAGTTATTATGTGTTGACCGTCAGATCGAGAAGACATGAAAGTGTTCGCGAGAGTGAGAACGTTAAACTGAGTGTTGCGAAAGGAAGACCAGACGACAACATCCATCGAAGCCAAGTCCAGCCAAGTTGTGTGAAGTTTGAGGAAATGACCAGATCCGTATGTGCGGCGATGTGGAAGTGAAGGCGCCGACTCTGGTCGATGAATGTGTGAGAAGTCAGCGTGTTCGCGTCTGAACAATGTGGTGCGTCTAAGCTGTGATTTAAGACATGGACGGGACATTCTATGTAAGTGATGAGATGTCAGCAAACTGTATTGTACTTCAAAGTCGGTGTCGGCTTGTCCCAGTTATGTCATCTTAAGAATGTGTGCTATGTCTTCTCTAGAAACATCATCTTCTAGACAACCAGCCCAAGGTCATCAACTACTTACTGGAAGTAGAAGATGAATTATTGCATTCTTGTTCTTCCTGTTCTTTTTGTTCTTCGTTTTCTAGTTGTTGTTTTTTTTTTCTCCTTCTTCTTCTTTATCTTCTTCTTCTTCTTCTTCTTCTTCTTCTTCTTCTTCTTCTTCTTCTTCTTCTTCTTCTTCTTCTTCTTCTTCTTCTTCTTCTTCTTCTTCTTCTTCTTCTTCTTCTTCTTCTTCTTCTTCTTCTTCTTCTTCATGTATAAAGGAGCATCTGGTCAAGCGGTTAAAACTCTTGGCTCTAATTTAAGCTCAGTATCTCGGCAAGGTGATGTCAAAAACTGAAGTCCTAACCATGCACAGTTCATGGCGACTGCACTAGCTAGGTTATCACAATTCCACTAGTTATAACTACTCCCTTCGCCCTTTTCTGGCACACTGTAACCCACCATCATCCGCCCTACTCTATAAAATGTTTAAAAGTCAGGGCAGTTGAAGAATATAACACAGTCACTAGCAGTAGAGAATCATACTCCATTATTAGGATGGGTGTCAGCGTAGGTTTCTGCACATGGACGTAATAGAAGATCTTACTCAATGACATTTCTTTCAGGGATCTTTTTTTTTTTTTTAATTGGTTTTGTATGAAAGAGTAAATATCCTAGTCGTATGTAGTGTCCATATGCATGCATTGCATTCATGCGTCAAAAATAACAATAACGTCAACATATCTACAGATATACACACATGCACATGCATTCCGACATGCAAGCCATACCACCAAAAGAAAACGATAATTTAGTCGATCAGGAAACATTCAGAACAAGACGACTATTTTAAGATGGACAGATCAAAATAAGTCATTATCCTTTACCTCACAACAGGACAAACTCGATTACGTAACCAAATGTACACAAAATTCAAGATAGGCGTATCAGCAATGTGCACCCGAGGGGAAGTGGCCCAGACAGCAGAGCATGTACTCCAGGACTGCGCCGGATTTTATACATTAAGGCAAACACTTTTGGCCAGAAAGATTATCAGTGGATCGTAAACTCTATGGACCACTGAACAAACTAAAAACGACAGTGAAATTTATGCGAGAGACAAAAACTGCTGATATAGACAACTTATTTCAGGCGAACGAAAGAAGAAGGAGAAAAAAAAGAAGGAGACACACGCAGGCTACTTACTCGTCTGCACTTCTGGCTACAGGCATGTAGCATCCGTCTCTGAGGTTGTGTAACATAAACTGTGACTGTCTGCTTCCGTCCGCCATCACACTAACGACACCTGTGACACCTGTAAACATAGATGGAGGACGTCTGATCTTTCAGTCAAACACAGACGTTATTATAAACTGGTTCTGTTCCAATGATTAAGCTTAAAGGCCCCTGATAGAGCCAAGACTTTCTTCAAAAATGACCTTGGCTCCTAGGTCGACCAGGCTTCGAAAGGATACCAGATAAAGTTATGAATATAAAGGTGGCCGGTGTATTTTTGATCACATCACCCACCAAGTGCTGACTAGTCTCTATATATGTAGCTCCTGTCCTATATGCTCAATGTGCCTGAAGCCGTGGAGAATGGTCTTTTACTTCTACTAAGTTGGCCGGCATGCACATCAGCCACTTTACCATCTCACTATTTAAGAAGGGAACATGTGTACATTTCGAGGAAAAATTTCTTGTTGTGAAAGGTTAGTTGATATCTGTCCAGCACTCTATACTACGGTGTTATATTTGGTTCTTAATTTATAACGTACCCCAAACAGGAAATCCCCGTGGGAAATCCACAGCTGACCTGACAGTCCATTATTTCAAGAGGTGCAAGTGTGCTGTTGTGTGGTGCTTTTCTTGAGTGTTCATCTAGTGTCTTTTAATCCTAACCCTAACCCTAACCCTAACCCTAACTCTAACCCTAACCCTAACCCCAACCCTAACCCTAAACTTTACTGTAGAGAAATCGCGAGAAACTACAACCTGAACAACCTAGAATTTATTGGGAATGTCTCCCGTGACGTTGTCGTGACGTCAGGGGTAAGTTATAAATTAGGTACCTTATATTTTGCTGTAAAGAGGTGTGAGAAGCATAGTCTATGGCGAAGGCCAGTGTAATTGGCGAGAATCGATGCGTTGAGAAAAATCTTCTAGTTACAGAAATGGGATTTCAGGAGTATTGTTATCATCCCACGTACATAAAATGTTTCTTTTCAGATAGGCTCAGTTCTCAACTTAGATGCATACATTTCCCCTTTATCCCTGCCCTGATCATGTCCACAGCATCATGTACTCACGAAACAGGCACAACGCCTGTATCATTCATGCCCCGCTTGCACACATCTTTATATCGTAGTAGATGTCGACCGAGATATCTTCTATCCACATGTAAATCAACATAGAAAATGTCCTTTGATGAAATAAACCACAAATTAACACCAAAGCAATCAAATCAAGCCTGTATGTGCAATACTCACTTCACTGTACAGTGCCTGGCCTGGAGCTGTAAAGATCATACAACAAACGATGCCTCCTAGGGGCAATATCGCACCGATGTTTTCTTTAAATTTAAATTTTCAAAAACATCTACTAATATTAAGTTTAGACTACGTCAGTGGCTCTCAGCCTGCCTAATGCGGCGACCCATTAATACAGTTCCCTCATGTTGTGGCGACCACTAACCATACAGTTGCATTCGTTGCCGCTTCATATCTTCAATATATATGTCTTCTGCGATGGTCTAAGGCGACCCCTGTGAAAGGATCGTTAGATCAAGAAAAAGGGTCATGACCCACAGGTTGAGAACCGCTGGACGAGGAAGGCCATGTCCTACAAGCTCCTTTTTTACTTTAGGATAATAAAACATTGCTCTGGTGTTATTAAATGGATAAAGGAAAAACGTCTTTACAAAGGATTTATCGAAGGGAATAATCAGTGCCGTCTCCACAACGACAGTTAGCTGCAGATCACCCACCGCTTAATTTGGGAATATTACACTTAGTGGTGAGGCTCCGTCTCTTCTACGGTACGACTTTCTGAATGTTAAATTCTTTCTTCTTCTGCCTTTCTATCCCCCAATGGAGCATAGGCCCTCAACCAACTCACGCCAAGTCGTTCTATCCTTCGCCATTACATGGAGCTCTCCCCATGTCCTCCCAATCTTTCTGACCTCATTCTCCAGCTCTCTTCTCCGTGTGTTTTTTGGTCTTCCTTTATTCGAATGTTAAATTCTTTCTTCTTCTGCCTTTCTATCCCCCAATGGAGCATAGGCCCTCAACCAACTCACGCCAAGTCGTTCTATCCTTCGCCATTACATGGAGCTCTCCCCATGTCCTCCCAATCTTTCTGACCTCATTCTCCAGCTCTCTTCTCCGTGTGTTTTTTGGTCTTCCTTTATTCGAATGTTAAATATTACACTAGACAAATCTTGAATGTTGAAATGCGAAAAGTTCATACCAAAGAGCCTAAACTGTTTCGTTTCCATTATGACGCTTGGCTACAGCGTACCAACTGTTGTATTTGGGAAACTACATAGTGATTCTTTAATCTCTTCCATGATAGGACATTCTTAATACTGTCCAGTAACTAAACTCTCAATCGCTGAAATCGAACCACAGTAATCGAGGATATGGATATTGTTTAACGCATTTACTAACACGTAAGACACAGAGGATAGACAAAGATAATGCTATATACGCTTTGTAGACAAAATAGATGATCTCACCTTGTATAGTCACGTTGTACATATGCTTGGCTATCTGATAACCGTTTGTTGCATTTTGCCCGGCTTTTAAACAGGAATCCACTGCCCTTGCGTACAGCATCATGGCATCGTACATGAGTCCAGCGTGGATTCCAAACTGTGAGAAACAAAATATACACGCTCAGAGATGTAAGTGACATCGGCCGTGACACACACAGGTTTGCTTTTGTCCAACACCCAATAGGATTTAATGCATGAAGAATGCATTTTATATTTATGTAAACAAAAGTAAAGTAAATTCTCGCACAAGCTGACTCTAGTTTTCAAAGATAAGTAGCAAAATATTTATCTCCACAAACTCAAAGTATGTTAACAATAAATGTTATTATCTGTTTCATTGTTCTCAAATCAAATCAAATCAAGTCAAATCATTATTCTCAGTTGACAATATCAACATAGACACTGTGCTATCCTAACCATATTACTAGAAGCATGAACATGTGTGTATTATACATCTGAAAGTAGGGAGGTGAGTTGTACCCCACCAGGACATCACAAAAGCAATAAACACCTAGTGACACAAAGTGCCACCATGAGGATGATGATCACCCGTGCAGAGGTCCTAGAAACCCTGCTCTGCCGTTAGACCTTATTTAAGGCCCGGCTATATCTAGGGCCTCCCGCAAAACCCAGGGTGGGATTTTAAAATAACTAAAAATTGCATCCCACACAGGGACGACGAGATTATGAATATATATATATATATATGTGTGTGTGTGTGTGTGTGTGTGTGTGTGTGTGTGTGTGTGTGTGTAGTAAAGAATTTTTCAGCTGCCTCTAATTAATGCGGACTAAAGGGTGACATTAAACGCTATTATGCATTAATTTTAAAAAATTTTCGAAGATGCATTGACGGAATTGACCCCCACTTGTTCATTTTCTGATCGGATTTACTTCGTTTTACAATTCAGTGCAGAAAAAACTCATTATTGTCGAGTGCCGTCTTCACCTTGAACGTCGACTGTAAAGATGATTGCACGAATCTATTATCAGCGTTTCTTTTGTGCTTAGTTAGAAGTGAACTTTACAACTCAGTTGCTTCACTACGAATGCCTTCTTTTTAATAAGGACAAATTGATTACCAAAATAATGTATTACAATACTCTATATTGCCTTTGATCGTTGTTTAATACAGTGAAATAACTAAACTGTATAATGTGATACATATAATAAATAGTAATAATTATAATACATAGCAAGTGCCAAACATAAAACCTATACCCTCCTATAGTAAAGTTAAGTGCCAAACATAAAACCTATACCCTCCTATAGTAAAGTTAAGTGCCAAACATAAAACCTATACCCTCCTATAGTAAAGTTAAGGACCCCTTTCCACACCTATAGGTGTATTTGGCATATAGAGCTAGCCCTATTTTTAATAGACCGATTGACATTTGGTGGGAGATGTGGTCAATATTATGCCAGCCAACTTAACTTCCCATGATTGCACCTGGTGTCCACTCAAGGCACCCTATATACGATAGAACTAGATAGGACAGTTTAAAGTATTCCATAGTCTCTCTGTTGAAGTTTTCCAGAACCAACAAAAAAATACAAGTTGCAGAACGTCGCTCTCATCACTCTCTTCCTGAAAGAAACTCGGTCTCTCGTAAGCACACTCGCCTCGTATACTTTCATACTCAAGGAGTCACTTATACCCTGTGCCCATCTTCGCGTTGATCGGACTTGCCCCTCCTTCTTGGTACCGTGCCTTCTGCTATAATTTTTTTTCAATTAGACATGGCGCTTGATATGACCAGAAATTTTAGCTTCCGAAACAATATGCTGTTTAGCCAATCTTCCAGATGTTCAGATTTTTTAAAATGTAAGTATTTTAACTCTTCTTTGTTCATTGTATTCTGAGAATATTTCTATATCATTTTAGCTCAAAACCCTCTATTACAATTAAAAATATACATAAAATGATAAGCTTTTTTAATGTATAGGGTCGCGCGCTTTACCCTACCTGTGTAAATTGGGGCCGCGACTCGCAAAAGACAGTGAAAAAAGAGGGAGGGGGTGTTGTGGTGAAATACAAAGACATAACAAAGCAGAAAAATGACCACAAAGATTTAAACAAAGCAAGAACGCAAACAGCGTTTGACTCAGTTTGTATGTTCACCTAAATTATTACTATGACACTAACCAAACCAAAGCGAGACAGAAAATCTATACTAATTCCTACCATGGAATATGGCATCATAAATTTCCATAGCGTATGAAACAGATAGCTTATCAAAAGGCTACTGGCGCCATCAAATTATAACTCGCTGGCTGCTGAAGTCAATGACGGAGCGTGTATGTGTATATCTGAGTGGTGTAATGTTTTTTCTTATTACAGCTCATTGCAGAGCTTTATTTTCTCCTGCGTATCCGTATTATTTGTGGTGCTAGTAACTAGTGTCAACTAGGCAATATTTTAGGTGGAATATTTGAGAAGAAAGCTTAACAACAAGGCGATTGCCAGGTTTTATCACTAATGGCTCATTCTCTCTCCGCAGAGGAAATGGTCATAAGAAAGAGCGATACATAAGGCACGAACTCCTCAGCTCTAGCAACGACTTAGGGATAATTGAAATGCGAACGGAAGGAATGAGTCTGAATTCAAACTCTGATTCTTCAAAGTATTCATCATGTCGCTCGTTTTCCTTTTGTCTAAACCTCGGTTTCATAGAGTCGATTCTATTTATCTTTGTGCCCTCTTACTCTTTCTCTTTCTTTCTCTCTCTCTCTCTCTCTCTCTCTCTCTCTCTCTCTCTCTCTCTCTCTCTCTCTCTCTCTCTCTCTCTCTGTTTCTCTGTTCTCTATCTCTAACGCTCTTTCCTTTGAAGTCACTTTTATCTATTTTTGTTCGAGATCTTTCTTTCCTCTGTCTGTCTGTCTGTCTGTCTGTCTGTCTGTCTGTCTGTCTGTCTGTCTGTCTGTCTGTCTGTCTGTCTGTCTGTCTGTCTGTCTGTCTGTCTGTCTGTCTCTCTCTCTCTCTCTCTCTCTCTCTCTCTCTCTCTCTCTCTCTCTCTCTCTCTCTCTCGCACTTTCAGTCCTCGTTGCATTTGCTAGCCTTTTGTGGTTGGACTAGACAATTTTACTTTGAGTAGCTTGCTATTTTTCAGTAAACGTTCGGCTCTAAATACCAGTGTTGAAATGAAATCATGGTGATCTGTCTGCAGCTGGCATCGAACTGCGTATCTCGATATGTCAAACCATGTTCGCAACCCCTAAGCCACAGACGCCGACCAACTGACCTTAGATAAACTAATGGCCGGCTTTAGATATGATTTAAAAAATACTGCTGGCTTTGCACAGAAAGCCGCATGCATATCTTTACAGGGCAAATGTTAACTTTTGATAAAATCATAAACCAGAAGCGTATTACTTACTGCACTGAGAGTACATACACGATAAGAACTCTGCTCGATCTATAGCTTATGAGACACGCTCACATAGTGTATATTTATTTCCAGGTCGGAGTATATCTGTCTAAGAGACGAGAAACCAACCGTCTCTTTACAGATAAGCCAGTTTTGTAAAACGAATGTGCACGAAAAAGAACGTATTTGTTCGTCTGTATAAGCATACCATTTATCTTTGTACATTGAGCAAGTGAATTACAAGACAAAGGGTGTGAATTTTACATTTCAAATCATCGTGTATTTTTTTTTTTTTTTTTTCATTTTCTAATAACAGAATTGTTGGCAGGCGATGTTGCTGTTTACAATTTATTTCGAAAACAGAGGGGCGGCTGGCGGAAGTTTCTAGTTGTTTATCGACTTCTGGGCTTTGCTTTGGTTTTAGAACTTGACGTTTGTTTTCACACCGGATTTACAGAAATGATTTAATCAATACGCAGAATTCTGGTTCCTTACCCGACACCCAGATGCACTCCGACCCTGAAAAATCACTCATAATTAGTTGCTGTTTAACTACACGCTTTTTAACCACCACCCCCCCCCCCCCCACCCCCCTCTTTCCCCCAACCCTTTTTTTTTTCTTTCCACAATAAATATATTGTGTTCCGGAAACCACAATGTGTCTTCTGTTAGGCAATGCATCTTGATCATTTTAACTGTCAAAAGTATCCGTATTTATTTGCATATAAACCCACCGTGTGCTCAGGTCTTACCTCGTAATGGCTACAGGAGTCGTTGCCAGCGTACCTCGATGTACTCAGTGTGGAGTTGTCTTGTATGTCGTCGACAAACTGCCGGAATGTGGCACTCTCTGGAGTCACATCCATGGTGATGTCAAGTAAGCCTACAGTTGGACATAATAAAAATTACTTACAAAAAACAAAAGTGCATAATATCTAGAAGGTGAACAAACAAACAAAAATGAAATGACAGCTTGAAGTTTTCAAAACATGTTAATTTATAATATACAAATTAAGATTTTTAAAAATACATTAAAAATAAAATCACACACTGATTGCTCAAAACGCTCTGTTGAGAAGATAATAGGTCTAAATTTTTAAGATATATTTATGCAAGAAAATAATATATTGTAGTTTTAAAAAAATACACTCGAAAAGAGACAATCTCTAAATAGCAGATATCTTAAGTCCTTCAATGGCGAAAGAATTGAGCTAACAAGGAATGCATGCTAAGGTTTAAAGAGATGAACAGAGACATTATTGGCCATATGAAGTCTAATAATCCAGATACAAAATATTTAAATAACGACAGTTTGTGACAGAAGACATCAATAACATTATATATAATGGACTGAAAGGCACATAACAATAACATTATATATAATGGACTGAAAGGCACATAACAATAACATTATATATAATGGACTGAAGGGCACATAACAATAACATTATATATAATGGACTGAAGGGCACATAACAATAACACTATATATAATGGACTGAAGGGCACATAACTATAACACTATATATAATGGACTGAAAGGCACAAAACAATATGGGTTTAAAAAAAGGAAACTACCCTTTTCCACGCTTTTAGGAGTATAGGACATATTGGGCTAGACCTATATTTTTATAGACCAATCAGCACAAGATGGGTGATATGGTCAGCATCACGCCGGCCGCCTTTACTTCCAGGGACTGCACCTGGTACTTACTAGGGGACAGGATCGACCTGGAAGCCGTCATTTTTTAAAATAGTCCGGCTCCGATAGGGAGCGAACCTACGACCTTCTGATCCGCAGGCGAGCGTCTAGCTGCTTCGCCACGGAGACTCCCCTAACAAAATATGAATACATCTTAAATAATATAAAATGTAAAAACAAAAGCAAATCGAACTTCTATGCGTGTTAATGGGGATGGGGGTGGGGGTGGGGGGTTGGCAGCGGGGTGGGGGGTTAGAGCTCACAAGCTCTCCCCTCGGATCGGATGTTCGTGGGTTCGGGTCCTGATGTATCTGTATTTTTTTCCAAAATGACCTTGACTCCCAGGTCGACCCAGCCTGCAGTGTATGCCAAGTGCAAGGTTGTGACCAAATCCCTCGTGAAGTGCCGATTGGTCTATATTTATTTTTTTACTCAAGGTCGCTAGTACGGCAAATGACCCCTTTGTCTCATATATCATGGTCTAGAATAAACTATGTGCCCATAAACATGACGTACATTCAAAGTTTTGGGGTGATATGAGTAATCCTTTAGTTTCGTACTCTTAAAGCAAAGAACGCGTGATATTGACAGTCTAAAAATGACTGCAAAAGGTAGGGGAAAAAATGGAAAATGGTAACATCAACATAAAGCTATATGTCAGCTTTAAAAAACAACTTACAATAAGCTAACAGATGACATTACGGCGATAAGCCTTCCTCAGCAGAACATCAGCAAGAAACAAAACTCAACATACACAAAATGAACTACATCATATTTACATGGGCCGTGCTAGATAGTATAAAGATAATAAAACAAGCAAGTATTGCTTTTATAAAGAAGCCAGAAAAACAAACAGTGGAACCTATTCAATGGAAATGAAGTGCTAGAGAGCGATGACATATCCTGATGGGTAAAGGGAAGGAGACAGAGGAGGAATTTCAAGGAATAAAGTTAGGTCATGAGGAGCGACTTCATTGCACACTGTTTTATCTGATATGGTTCAGTCTTTCTCCACAGAATGGCTAGTAGCCAGCCGAGATCATCGCACCGAGCACGAACTCCATTTCTCAGGCGACGACCCTAGGGATCACCGTAATAATTGCGCTTGTGAACTGAACGAAGCAGCTGTAAAACAAACCCACGACTTTCAGAGCGCGAGCCAAACAGCTCAACTGCTTCGCCAATTGTAGGAATGAGACTAGATGTGAAGAAAATGGATGAAACGTTCAGAGAAAGGTAGAGTGTGGACGTTTCCACAACCTACATCTAACAAATATCGACAGACGGTGGTAGTATTTGGGTAGCTTCACATTGATTCAAGTAATCAGCTATAGCCCCCTTATATCCAGCAAAACATGAGCTATTTCGTTTACTATGGTCTGGGCATAGTATATCAAACTGGCTGCATGTGTTAGTATTATCATCATCATAATTTGCCCTCTCAACTGCGTAAGCGCTCATGCATCTCCACAGATCACGATCTCTGGCTGCCTGGAACAGATGTCTTAATTATATCCCGCCATGCCATCGCTTCAGCCCATCCATCATCATCTCTCTTGGTCTGCCTCTGTCCCTTTTTCCACTGATCTTTCCAGTTGCCACAATGTTATCCAAGGTCTCTCTTCTCAATATGTGGCCACTAAATATAGTTTGTCTCTTTCTTTTTTTTTCTTTTTTTTATGTAGAGATCTACTTGTAATAGCTACTTTCAAACAATCGTTGTTAGTTACTCTAGTCGTCCAAGGTATTCGTAGTATTCCTTTCAGAAACCGCATCTCTATTGCTTCCTAATTCTTCTAGTTTATTCATTGACATCCCAAGATTCGATCCCATACAGCAAAATAGGTTCTATGTAACATTGTAGCACCCTCTTTCTGACATTAAATGAGCGCGACTTATTGCATAAGCTAGTATAATGGTTAATATATGTCACCTCTTGAAAGTATTACTTATGTCCCCCTCCCCCCCCCCCCTCCCCTTTTCCGTTATTGTAACGACTTAACATCTATAGTAAAACTGCGTGGGACTGAAAGAGTTAAGGTAAGGAGTTCGTTTTAGGCGCTGGCATTTGAGCAATATAGTTAATCGCTGGAGCTAGCGACTGTCATGCTTCAGGACTACTTACTGGGTAAACAAGCAGTGTTAGTTGAGGAATACGTACCTGTAAGATGAGGCCCATCAAAGCCATGTTTGATTCTCTTGCCCATGTTGGCGAAGTCTATGGTCACAAACACATGCTTCCCTTCCAGGAGTTTTGCGTCATTGGCGGCTTTCATGAACTTGAGAACGTCGATTCCAAACATCAGAAGCACGAACACTAGATTAATTCAAAAAGGTTAAAAGGTTAGAGTCGAGAAAATCCACTTTATCGCACCGCGTTGTATCCCATATGTCTGGGTCTCTCTCCGCAGAACGGATAGCCGCCTGTCAGGAACCGCCGCTGAAAGTACGACCGGCGACTCAAGGGCGCAGCCGTGACACGACCTATAGAGCACGAGGCAAATGGCTTGACACTGTCACAATAGAGACCCACTAGATTATTTATGAAAAAAGGCAATAGGCAGTAAATGGTTCATTCGTTTTTAACAATGTTGTCATTGGAAATTGACTGCCTAAAAATGGATCCGCGGAATTCAGAACCCACACGGGGAGTCATGAATAATTTTAAAAATGTGCATTAAGAATATGACGCTTAATATTTCATTTATAAAAAAAAACTAAACAATCAGCTAAAGCTGAGGCATTTATAATGGCATATGACATGATAAAGGGGCAGGATGTTTTTTAGAAATGACTTTGGCTCCAAGGTCGACCGGGCTTTGAGTGGGTACCAGGTACAGTCATGGGAAGTAAACGCGATCGGTGTGATGTTGACCACATCACCCACCAAGTGATGTTTGGTCTATAAAAAATAGGTTTAGCCCTAAATATCTGAAGGCGTGGAGGAAAAGAGTCCTTTACTTTACTATTTGTCATTAGGGTCTGGCCAGCTCACTACACTCCGAGAATAGGCGAGACGGACATATAACTGTATTGTGACAGGTACCATCAGTATAGGAATTCTGCACTGGCTGCTAAAGATGAGAACGGAGCACACGTGCGAATGCCCCGAGTGCTGTGATGTCAATTCTTGACTCAACTCATCTCACTGATACATCTGTTGGAGATAGCAAAGTGTGGAGAGACACAATCGCCGATGAACACATGTTGGAGATAGCAAAGTGTGGAGAGACACAATCGCCGATGAACACATGTTGGAGATAGCAAAGTGTGGAGAGACACAATCGCCGATGAACACATGTTGGAGATAGCAAAGTGTGGAGAGACACAATCGCCGATGAACACATGTTGGAGATAGCAAAGTGTGGAGAGACACAATCGCCGATGCTTAGTTTTGCAAAGTCCTTTGAAGGGCATGCAACTAACTTTCTTAAAGTGTTCTCAAGAATTTAACATTTAGCAAAACTTGAGAATTCATTATAAACAATGGTGGTCATTGAAAAAAAAAAGTGTTCTATCATACACTTTGTTATACTCTTTATACTTAATTATAATAGTATATTCTTTAAAAAGTGTAGTGTTAAATAGAGTAGACAATCCACCATAGACTATGATATGTACGGAACAATAAAGAGCAAAGATATTCTACTGGTATTGCAACAACAACAACAGCAACAAACTTTTTAACACGGATTCCGAGAGACCAGACCATCATTAGTTCGGGGTTTAAAAGCTCTAATACATGCAGTTATAACATATACATTCCTGCTAGTATCAACATATTGTTCATGTTAACGGAATTTTTGCCTTAAGCAGTGTTGTGTTAACGAGGTTTTAGTGTAGTACTTTTTCTTTCTAGGTCTTGTCTTTGCTGGATGAGATGTTAGTATTTTCAAAGTCCTGTCCAATGCTTGACGTAAGGATCTCTATTTCTTGAAAGTTCATGATACTGTCATTCCAACTGCTGCATGGTCTTCCCCTTGTCCGGTGTGCATTATGACTCTTCCGCCTGGATCTCCGTGGGAGTTGGAACCAGCGAGTATTCGTCAGATGAGCGAAAGATCTCATGTGTTGCACTATAAGTGAGTTGCATATCTTTTACAGGACGTTGCCCCACCAACCCCAGAATTTTTGGACTGTTTGTGGATTTTCTATGCAAATGTTACGTTTAGTAGTTTACCACTGCTCTTAATGTCACTGTCGAAACCAACGCAAGGCAAATCGTCCGCAGCTGGTATCGAACCCGGCACGCCGGCATTACAAAAGGCGATCGCAACGCCTAAGCCACAGACGCCGACTATAAGTGAACTCAAAATCTGAGACCAGTCCTAATCTTCCTTTTAATTGTATTGCCGCTTGTCGTTCCGGCATATACTAGTACACTTTGAGTGAAACTTTCCTGGAGCGCGGACCAGGACATATTATTATTATTATTGAATATTTCAAAACTTGTAGAATCTCCTTGGTGAGCATAGACTGACAGATAGGCTCACGGAGAGACAAACTGACACACACACATATATATATATATTTATATAGTACGATTTACAAAATGACTAACAAGTTCAATGATGGACAAACTAACTGAGACAGACTTTAGCGAACATTCCAACACAGTTTGAGTCATGGGTAGAATGGTAGACAGATTATTCACAAACAAGCTGTTAGATCCATAGACGGACAGAGACAAATACATTGTCAGAGAGAATAACAGCAGATCCGTTGACAGACAAACAGCTCATATGCATAGATATTACCATTGCTCTGCCGTGTCCTATCAAGCAGTAGTTCGGTCATGTGACTCCAGTCGCTTGGGTGAATGTTCCATTGCAAGGCGTGGAAATGATTGGCATTCAAATGATGCTAAAAGACATAACGTTAGCTTTAGTCGTGGAAATTACTGAGGTTCAAGTAATGCTAAGAAATTTAATACTGGCATGTGAGGTATTGGCGTTTAAATGATGCTGAGAGACATAGTTGCAATAGTACTAGTCGGAATTATTGACGTTCAAGTGAACACTCCACGTTTACCAGACTTCGATTTCAACGGTGCCTCGTTCGGAAAAAAAAAAAGACTGCTCTTGTGTTGTTATGCACTCGTACGCCAGTCACAGCTTGGGAGAAATGGGGAACTTACCATGTACTATTTCTATAGTTCGTTGTAATCACATTACACTTAACATCCACTGATGAGGCGACACTATTTTTTTTTTATTTCGAGATATACAGTATTACCTTGTTTAACACACAGTAAAACCCTAATAACACGCATTTCAGTGAATCGAAAAATCAAGAGTTCGCTTTAAAACATTCGTGCTAATAGGGGACAATTATATGTGTATTGTGAATGAAACATCTCTGCTGGGACATTCTTCTTCTTCTTCTTCTTCTTCTTCTTCTTCTTCTTCTTCTTCTTCTTCTTCTTGCTCTTGTTCTTCTTCTTCTTCTTCTTTTTCTTCTTCTTCTTCTTCTTCTTCTTCTTGTTCTTCTTCTTCTTCTTCTTTTTCTTCTTCTTCTTCTCTTCTTCTTCTTCTTCTTCTTCTTCTTCTTCTTCTTCTTCTTCTTCTTCTTCTTCTTCTTCTTCTTCTTCTTCTTCTTCTTCTTCTTCTTCTTCTTCTTCTAATTCTTCTTCTTCTTCTTCTACTAATTCTTCTTCTTCTTCTTCTAATTCTTCTTCTTCTTCTTCTTCTTCTACTAATTCTTCTTCTTCTTCTTCTAATTCTTCTTCTTCTTCTTCTTCTTCTAATTCTTCTTCTTCTAATTCTTCTTCTTCTTCTTGCTCTTTTTCTTCTTCTTCTTCTTCTTCTTCTTCTTCTTCTTCTTCTTCTTCTTCTCTTCCTTTTCTTCTTCTTCTTCTTCTTCTTCTTCTTCTTCTTCTTCTTCTTCTTCTTCTTCTTCTTCTTCTTCTTCTTCTTCTTCTTCTTCTTCTTCTTTTTCTTTTTCTTTTTCTTCTTCTTCTTCTTCTTTTTTCTTCTTCTTCTTCTTCTTCTTCTTCTTCTTTTTCTTCTTCTTCTTTCTTCTTCTTTCTTCTTCTTCTTCTTCTTCTTCTTCTTCTTCTTCTTCTTCTTCTTCTCTTCTTCTTCTTCTTCTTCTTCTTCTTCTTCTTCTTCTTCTTCTTCTTCTTCTTCTCTTCTTTCTTCTTCTTCTCTTCTTCTTTCTTCTTCTTCTTCTTCTTCTTCTTCTTCTTCTTCTTCTCTTCTTCTTCTTCTTCTTCTTCTTCTTCTTCTTCTTCTTTCTTCTTCTTCTTCTTCTTCTTCTTCTTCTTCTTCTTCTTTTTCTTCTTCTTCTTCTTCTTCTTCTTCTTCTTCTTCTTCTTCTTCTTCTTCTTCTTCTTCTTCTTCTTCTTCTTCTTCTTCTTCTTCTTCTTCTTCTTCTTCTTCTTCTTTTCTTCTTCTTCTTTCTTCTTCTTCTTTTTCTCTCTTCTTCTTCTTCTTCTTCTTCTTCTTCTTCTTCTTCTTCTTCTTCTTCTTCTTCTTCTTCTTCTTCTCTTCTTTTCTTCTTCTTCTTCTTCTTCTTCTTCTTCTTCTTCTTCTTCTTCTTCTTCTTCTTCTTCTTCTTCTTCTTCTTCTTCTTTCTTCTCTTCTTCTTCTTCTTCTTCTTCTTCTTCTTCTTCTTCTTCTTCTTCTTCTTCTTCTTCTTCTTCTTCTTCTTCTTCTTCTTCTTCTTCTTCTCTTCTTCTTCTTCTTCCTTCTTCTTTCTTCTTCTTCTTCTTCTTTCTTCTTCTTCTTCTTCTTCTTCTTCTTTCTTCTTCTTCTTCCTGTGTTCGCTTTCTGATTTACACAGACAGACAAGTTGGTGAGATAAACTTGACTGTTTTAGGAGTTCCATTTAAGTTCCATTCAACTTTGAGTACAGGGTTGACTCATTGGGCCAGTCTTCCCGTTTTAATGTGCTGTACAATGGACATTCTAGCAGGTCGTGTTTTGTTGTCTGCACAAACAGCCCTCAAGGGCACTATGGTGAATTACTTAGACGAAGACTGTGCATATGATTGTTAAGTTTGCTTTGTCCTGTCCGGCGGAGTAGAATAATGACCGGTCGATGTGGGTCAAGTTAGTGGTAGTCATCTCTGGCTAGACATTTGATAGACTGGACGGCCCTTGGGACATTATTTGTTGAGGTTATTCAAGAGTTCGAGATTTTACTGAAATTGTAATATTGGAAACTGAAAGTATAGGCGCTCAGGTAATCTTGAGAGATATACCCTTAGTCGCAGAGAGTATCTCGTTTAGCCCAACTACTGCCTAAATGCTCTAAACAACGCAGGATGTGATCCGATTTATATGAAAACATTCGATCCGTTATGATAAAACTCGATATAGTATGTTTTATGGTTTAAGTTATATATTGCCTCCCATGAAAGTTATGAATATATCCTGTAAGTACTGTTATGCATCTCTGATGAGATCTAATGTGACTTAAAGGGTTGTTGGCATACAAGTGATGCTAATACGAGGAAAAGTAACAAGTCACAAATGTTTGTTTGGAAAAAAAACATTTATGCACTTGTCCCATTATTTTATCAGTCCTCCTAAACTGCTGCACAGAACTGCGTGCTCTGTTATCTAAACCACATTTTCACTTCACATTCACCTTCTGCGTCATTCGCGAAATGTCTCCCGCCAAGGTGGGTTTTCAGTGACCAGAAGGTGGAAATCACTAGTGGTTAAGTCGGGGTTGTAAGGTGAATCCCTAATTAACCCAGCCGTATGTGGTCTGACATTGTCATGAAGGAGCAGTACTTCTCTAGTCAGCAGGCCTATACGTTTTCTTCGAATTGCACCACGGTGCATCGATAGTACTTTACGGTATGAATGAGTGTTCACATAAACATTTTTTTTTTAAATTGGGTTAAAGCACCTCTTGAGATCCAAGAACACTGTCAGCATAACCTTCCCTGCTGATGAAGCAAAACTGAATTTTTGAACACACGGCGAGGAAGGATGTTTCCATTGCATTGAAGCACGCTTTGATTCCGGCTGGGAGTGATGCACCCATGAACTGTCCCCAGTATTAAAACTGTTTAGCATTTCTTGTCCTTCATATGCGTATCGACAGAGATGTTGCAAGGACAGGCCTAATCAGTTCATTTTATGTTCGTCCAGCAATTTTCTGGGTGCCGACCTTGAGCACAATATCTTAAATTTCAAACAAGCATGCATTATGTTGTATGCTGAACCATGTGAGCACCATATTGCAGCTGCAACAGAGTCAATGGTTACTCGCCCGTCACCTATAAGTATCTCCTCCACCCGCTGCACGAATGCGTCTATTGCAATCTCAACAGGACGACCAGATCTGATTTCATTATCAATATTAGATCATGTCTGAGAATTTTTTTTTAACCTTGCTATATACCGCTTTACGTAATAAGCATTTGTCAGCATAAACAGGAAGCATTTCCGTATGAATGTCCTTTGCAGGCAGCCCGTTTACCACTCTCCCCCCCCCCCACCCCCAAAAAAACCGCACGGTGGCACGTTGTTCTTTGTAATTATACTTGGTAAGTACAGTCACCATCTTGTTTCTGTGTCGCTGGTCCGCCAGCAACACCTAGGGCCACCTTACGAACGGAGACATAAAGTTCAATATTGCAATCGCATACTGACACCTTTAAAAACCACAAAGTGCATTTCCTGCTATCCCACAACCATTTGTGAATTACTTTTGACTTGCCCTCGTAAACATTACTGTAACATAGTCAGTTCTAGTGATGATACGAGATGTAATTATAACATTAGCGTGAATTTTTTTTTTTTTTAAACAGCATTCAAATTACAATTTTCCAGCCAGTTCATGCACCTGTGCATACACACCTACACAGATAACCATAGCTGAACTCACAGTCAAAACTAAGCACATTTAATCACAGGTTTACCGAAACACAATCCCATACAAATACATTTCAGGACACATTCAGTCACAAATTCACAGACATAAATACATTCTAATTCATTTACTCACTGGTTCGCAGATATTTACAGTAAAAATATAAACACATTTAATGACACATTTAGTAACAGACTCACAGACATATAGTCACACATAAACACATTCAAAGAGACATTCAGTCACAGGTTCATACATAGTCACATATAAATATATTCAACCACACATTCATTCGCAGTTTTATAGACTTGCAGTCAAAAATCAACAGGCTCACAGACACATTCAATCACAGGTTTCTGGACTTAGTCGTATATAAACACACTCAAAGACGCATCGAATCACAGGTTTTCATGTATTCAGTCACAGGTTCAGAGACATAAAGTCACACATAAACACATTCAGCCACAGGTTCACAGACGTACAGTTACAAATAAACACATCCACATACTATTTAGTCACAGGTTCCCTGACACATAATCAAACATAAACACATTTAAAGACTCACATAATCACAGGTTTAGAGCTTACATTCACACATACACACATCCAATGATACATTCAGTCATACACTCGGAGAAACACTCAAATCCGATTGCAGACATTATGGCTGGAAAGATTTGTAAAAATTACAAACTGGTTAAATGGTCAATTCGTTAACCTTACGCTATGAAGATCTTGGGTTCATTTAATGAACATAGTGCCAGCTCACAGATGCAATACTTGGGGAAAAAACACAGGTCACTGCGGATCGCCACTGCCTGTTCGAACTTCGTGCTTTAACGACACATTCAACAAGCAATTAGAAGTTCCACGTAGATAGATATAATCATATGAGTTAAACAGGTACTTGAACTTTGAAATTTGAACAACGGACCAACATCATGGCACACGGGTAGTAACCCATAATTGCTCCGTTCCTCTTCCAACTGAAATCTGAGTCCGATGAGGCTCAGCCCAGTGCACACACTCTGAAGCACAGGCGAGGATCCTGAAATACTTTGGGTAGATTGTTTAACTTAAAATTTTGCCCAGGCAGGACCGTTAGGCTACTCTATTCGATTTCCAACTGCCAATTGAAAATTTACGTGCGCAGCAGTGCACAAGGGCGTCTGATCTCACTACTCAGAGACCAGGAGGATTTGCTAGAAGTCTAAGTCCACGTGAAAAAAAATCACAGCCCTTACCGGGGATTGAAACCGGAATCTACAGCACTCGAGGCTGTCACCATGCCTCGCAGCCCACCAGTTAAACAGGGGCTTTAACATGTTTAACATGTTTCTCTCCCCCTCCACCCCCCCTCCCCCTTTTTTTTGAAGGATTACTAAAATCACGAATCTTTTTCTTCTGTTCCTCTTGCGTTCGGTTTCGTGTGCTCAAATGAGATCATCGGGTGGGTTGCCTCTATAAACTAGCATGTCAGAAGCAGGTCTATCATTTTTCCCCATAGCTTACTCTGCACATTTTCTACATCCCCATCACTCAGACATTGAAAATAAATATTTTTTTTTCAATTTTAAACTTCAAACAAACTCACAGCGACATCTACACATGTACAAACCAGCAAATCTGCTTCCGTCTCCAGCCAGACTTGTGCTGAGGTTGTGACCAGCATGACTCGCTCCCAGCCGTAATGATGCAAGACATCTTCCAGAAAACCGGTCATCTTGTCAAAGCTGCTGGTTGTTCTGTGGTATTGTCAAACCATGTCAAGTGTAGTGAGATCAAATATGTTATAGATATACGATGTTATATGAATATAAAACAGGCACAATAAACAGACAAACTAACAAGCTCTAGTGCTGGAGAAAATAAGAATTTTATGGACAATTTAATGAATATCAATAATTAAATTACAAAGTAACAGTGCTTAAGACAAAAAATATTCAAACATTAAAAAAAAAAAAAAAGAAAGAAAGAAAGAAACGTGTTTGGACCATTTATAGGTAGGTAGGTAAGTTGTACCCCACCAGGACATCACACAAGCGATAAATACCTGGTGACACAATCTGCCACCATGCGGATGAGGAACACCCGTGGAGAGGTCCCGGAAACCCCGTTATGCCGTAAGGCTATATTTAAGGCCCGTCTATATTAAGGACTAGTTTACTCATTTGGATATGTTATAAGATCTAGCGGCTAGATGTCTGCCTGTGGATCCTAAAATCGTGGGTCCAAATCCAGAGATTTACATATTTTCAAAAATGACCTTGGACCCCATGTTGATCCAGTCCTAAATGGGTACAAGATAAAGTCCTGGGATGTAAAAGTGGCCGGCATGATGTTGACCATATCCCCCACCAAGAGCCAAATGGTTAGTAAAATATAGATCTAGCACTTATGTTGAATATGGTTGAAGGCGTGGAAAAGGGTCCTTTAATTTACATGTTATAAGTTTAAAAAAGGGCCTTGGTAGTATACTGGTTATTCAACTTGCGGCCTAGTGGGTCAAATCTTATAGATTGATATGAAGAGATGAAACAACGAATGATCAAAGCATCTAAAGATAAAATATTTAGAAACGTACTTAGAGCAGATGGCCATACTTACTAGAAGATCCCTTAGATAATTTTACAAACAAAAAAATATGAGAGGAAGAGATGAATGCCACAATCCAGACACAATTAAAAACATTAGGAGATGGTGTCCTGTATTTAATCTATATCAAAGGCTAGCAAGGTGGAAAGAATATTCTAAAGAGCTACTCAACCCTGAAAACAAGGAAGATACCATCAGTTTTATGCCTAAAAGCAATGACGAACACGAACCAAACTTTTTAACATCAGAAGTTAAGCTGTTATACAGAAGAGACCTAAAAACAAAGCATCGGTTTTAGATTGAATACCCACAAAAGATATTTGCCTGCAGTCAAATTAGCATCAAAAGGCTTACAAGAATTTTCAGTATAGAAAAATTCCACCAGACTGGCAGCAGGCATTGATAGTACCTGTCTGGAAACAGAAAGGCGAAACAAGAGGTGTTTCTCTCCTGAGCCACATAGGGAAAAAATATAGACAGTTATTAGAACTGACTAAAATAGGACGAACTCCAGAGCGGGAGCATTTGCAACAGGAGTCTACTGTTCATCAGTAGGTGGGTCCCTCGTCGACATTGCTTCGGCCCATTATCCACTTGGACAATCTCAGAGGTCGTGACGCCAGGCCACGGATATCTTCTGCTTTGTTTAATGGACGTTCGGACAAGACGAAATAGTGGCTTTGCAATAGGTACGCTAGCAAATAAATCGCCTACCTGCACGACCAGACTGTCAAGTGTGCAGCTGGTCTATCGTACAGACGTTAGACTTTGGCAATTGACAGGGATGCGCAGACAGACGTTTATCAGGCAACTTTGGCTTTAGGGATTCTTGAGGATTATTGGATCGAAGGACAATTGCTAGACAACATCATGTACCACATTTTCCAAAGCACGGTGAGAATACAAGAAAGCATATTCTATAAATTTACAATCAATACAGGGTTGAAGCATGGATGTATGCTCTCTTCTCTCTTATTTGCTACATACATAATCAGAAAATCACACAAACAAAGGCAACTTTAGAACAGTCGACCCAGAAAATTCAGGAAATGAGGAACTGGACTTTCTGGAGAAATATTTAAACACACCCACAATAAATGAGCTACTATGTGCAGACGATCGGTGATTCTTCTACAATGAAGGAAGTAGACTGCAAGAACATCTGAACAGACTAAGTTTAACATACAAAAGATATAACATGAAAATTATTACTATAAAACTGAAGTAATGCAGCTGAATTCCGTCCAGGACATATGGGGTTGAATAGTACTTGTCTGAAGCAATTAAAAAAAATTATATGTTTATAAAATGTATATTTTCAGAGAACGGAAGAACTAGATCGGGAAATAGAAACAAGATGCCAACGAGCTATTAGTTAGTTAGTTAGTTAGTTAGTTGGGTTATCCTCATTGCACTCAGGACATGTCTATAAGTGCTCAGATCCTTCCCTCAGTATGAACCCCAGCGTCCGATGGCTAATAGTACCAGTTCTAGGTTGATTAACAAGTCTTCTGGCGTGTCTGGTGTGCGTCTCGTTTTTTGCTGTGCCGATCTTAATTCCCAAGTCTGCCATTCTGGCGAGTGATGTGGATTCACTGCCACCAAAGTCCTCTATCCTTTCCATTTCTCTGAGGGCATTGATAATATCAGCATGATCCATAGGCTGACCGTCGGTAGTGATAGCGGATCCAGCCAACCTGTCAGCTCTTTCATTTCCATCGACGCCTGCGTGTCCCGGAACAAAAATAAAGGTGACTCCACGCACAGTGGACTTCTGTAATGATTCAAGCCATTGTCTTCGCACTGAACCTGCCTGAACCCTCATACTCATTGAATCACTGAGTATACACACGCGGGTGTATTTTTGTGTTTCAAGCCAGGCAAGCGCTTGCGTCACTGCCATCACCTCCATCGTCATGCTGCTGGTTGTCATGGAGAAGGCGCCGTTGGCTTCTTTGACTGTTCTGCCCGCTGAGCGTGCTGTAAATGCCCATGCGCTTCTTCTTTGGCGTATAACGGATCCGTCTGTATAGATTATTGCATCTGCTTCATCTGAATTTTCACCGATGAGAGCGTTGACCTCTGCATTAACAGCAACAGGATTCTCTTCTCTACATCGCCTGTTGAGTGTGACAATACAGGAAAATGTACAAATAAACGCCTGAGGCACAGGTATCTATTCTGCACCAGGTATGATGTCAGTTAGGCTGCATATTTGCCTAATAACATCTTCTGCCCGACCTAGCCACGATTTCCCCCTCTTCAGTCTGTTGCCCTTTTCACTAAAACGAGCTATTGTACTTATATACCAAATAAGTGTGAGCGCATTAAAAAAAAATTATCAACAACATAGTCATACAAACAATGTGTTACCAACGTCAGGCCTGGACATTATCAAAGTCTAATTTTCGTAAAATCAATACCTATTAAATGAGATGTCTGAGAAAAGCCCTCAACGTAACCATCCCACACAAAGTTAGTAATGATTTTGTCAGACAGTCTGTAGAAACAAAACACTGCAGCGAATTCACTGAGAAACTGAAAAACAAATGGTTTGGTCATCTAGTAAAAATGCTCTCAGAGCAACTACAAACGCAGGCGCTGCACATGTAAAGATCTGAAGTAAAAGCTCTAGGCCGCCCTAGGAGACGATTGACTGATGACATTAAAGAGCTTCAACGTGGACGTGGAATGACAATCGCCAGTGCTGCCAATCAAGGAACGGACAGCAGGAAACGGTTCTTTTTCATGTCTTTTACCGGCAGAGGTATACATTAACGAAGATGATGATGTCCTAATTGACACATTTCTTCTTAACGACAATCAATGGGATTCCAACTGTGTATTAAACATTACATGTTCCACCATATTTTGAGACTCGAATACACAACTGTGTCACCCCAACGTGCATGTACTTTAGGAAGGACGGTGTAAGAGCAAAAACATTGTGAGCCTGAAAGACTCTCCCCACCTTCTATCTCTATCTATCTTTGGTTTTCTCTCTCTTTCGTATTCAATATATATATATTTCTCTTTCTTTCTCTCTCTCTCTCTCTCGCTCGCTTGCTCTCTCTCTCTCTCTTTCTCTCTCTCTCTTTGTCTCTCTGTCTCTCTCTGTCTCTCTCTGTCTCTCTCTCTCTCTCTCTCTCTCTCTCTCTCTCTCTCTCTCTCTCTCGCTCGCTCGCTCGCTTTCTTTGTCTAAGGTCGTAATGCTCAGCAGTTTAATTATATAATGTTGTGTTATGTCCCCTGACATTGCTCTGCAACCTATCCTACCTCTACGGGTTACTTTCTGTGTACTATATTAGTCTTGCAAAGGCGCATATTGCATAAAGCCTCTGTTGCTTATTTGAAATGGATATTTTGAGACATACTTTATCATAAAGATAAGGGATTTTACGTTTTATTGCTTGTAACTGTATCCTCGTAACGCTTATGTTATATTCGATGAAGGTTTTTTAGCCGAAACTATCATTTTCTCATTGTTATTTGTGGTATTGTGAAGATAACTATTTTTACTTTTCTTTATGGTGTTTATTTGTCCACGATGCAATACTTTGTTGTTCAGCAGAATAAGTTAAACACAACATGACTGCACCCTCTTTCTGGCACAGACACAATGTAACTAGTCTCACTTTATTCGTAATTCTGTCAATCTTTTTTTTTTCTCCAAAAAAAATTCATTGATATAACACATCATCTGAGCATCTAGGAGATATGATTCATGTACAGCAGCCTGTCCCGAACGATGAGGTATTCTAGGCATGTTAAATGTCATAGTGACCTGGAGAGAATGTGATGGATAGAACATTATTCCGGAAAACGAGGCTAGGCTGACCCACGCGAATGTGGACACAGGGCATTACATATGCACCTAAATTAATACATTTCACGGGGCTGGAGAATCGGCAAGAGACAGAGAACCTTCTGACGTCCTGTAATTAGAGCAACCTTTTGTAGAACCAGTCGGCTCTGTGGCTAAGTCAATGCGAACAAAGCGTAGTAACGGGATGCCGGATTCCATCCCAGCTGCGAGCTATGCGCCTTGCGTTGGTTTTGACAGTGGTATCAGAGAGCCGACCGTCCACGAAGCAATGACAAACTACCGGACGTAAATTTGCCTAGAGAAACCACACAGCAGCCAGGGGCTGCTAGGGTTGGTTCTGCAACGTCCTGTAAAGGATACGCAACTTAACTTTTGTAGAACCGCAGATGAGAATTAATACAGCATTAACAGTGCAACAATGGACAATGAATAAATTGTGTTGTTGTTGCAAATACACAACTGCTACCAACCTTGCAAACGTTGGGTACAGAGTCTGGTCAGATAGCTTACTCTCCTCACACCCATAGCTAACCATTGGAATACCCCATCTTCCAGCCAACAGCCCGGCAGTTTCGCAAACATTATCACATGATGGTCCTGAAATGAAACCAAAGAAGATACAGTTCACAAAACTTATATACACAGTGTGATTGGCACACTACGTTTGTTCCGTTACACACACACACACACACACACACACACACATATATATATATATATATATATATATATATATATATATATATATATATATATATATATCTGTGTGTGTGTGTATGTGTGTGTGTGTGATTTTACTTAATAATGAAATATACAGTAAGATTTACGTAGCTCGGGCAGCTAATTTAGCACAGTACTTGGCATTCTTGGCAACAGGTTGGATGGTATTAGAAGTAAAAAAAAAATGAAAGGAGAAGTAGGAGGAAGAAGAAGAGGAGGACCAGACACAGGTGCAGAGTAAGACGAAAATAAAGGAAAAAATAATAATAATATCAAAATAAGGAAAGATGATGATGATGATAAAGATGACGATGGTGATGGTGAAGAGGATGATATTGAATAAAATACGAATAGGAGTGGGAGGAGGAAGAACAGGAAAATAAAGAAGAATAAAAAGAAGAAAAGATGCAAATTTCTCTGTAAATGAGGTATGTGTTAAACATCTCAATCGTTTCCATTACTCTACTGAACTTTTCTAGTGTTCCTGTTTATGTCTACTTGCACTTCGGGCAATGTTTGAAAACAAAAACTTATTTGTAGTGCTATTTTTGAAGCTGTATAAGACAAATCGTCTGTTTTTCTTTGCATGTCTTTTTTTTTTTTTTTTTTTTTTCAACGGAAACTAGATTTATGTTTCTCTTTATGAGCCGGCACTTGACGCATGGTGTAGTCCGCATTACGCCTATCATTTTATGTATAGGTTAGTTGTGTATCCTTTACAGGACGTTGCAGTACCAATCCCAGCAACCCCTGGTTGTTGTGTCGTTTCTATAGGCAAATTTACGTCCATTAGTTTGCCATTGCTTTGTGGACGGTCGGCCCCCTGATACCACTGTCGAAACCAACGCAGGGCGCATGGCCAGCAGCTGGGCTCGAACCCGGCAGCCCGGCATTACGAAGCTTTCACATTGACTTAGCCCCAGAGCCGACTCTATGTATAGACACGACCAAAATAGTGCACAGCGCAAGGAGCAATTTAAAGAAAGACCTAGGTATTTTTTTAAAAACCGCCACATATCCTGCTACTACTGTATCTAGAAAGACGGCTTCTGGAATCCATTCATCACGATAACAATTGTGAACATGAGTCTGGTGGGCCAGGTCCTGTGGAGTACGTGATTGCCTTATCCATCTGGTCTAGCCACTGACATATTTTCTGGTGCAGGGATCTGATAAATTCCATACAGTATGTATATTTTTTTTTCAAACTTTGATGTGTCCTACAAAATATAGAATAAAATACTGTTTTATATATATATATATATATATATATATATATATATATATATATATATATATATATATATATATATAACGACTAGCCGGAAATAAATAATTGATTGTTTGAACCCATTGTGGTAGAAAGTTATAAAGTGATAAAGTAGGCCGCAGCTTGCATAATGAGAAGGCAGAATTATTGGTAATAACAAAGACAAGAACTGTGCCTCAATGTGTAATAGAAGTCAAAGTTAAAAGAAATCTGAGTATCTAGACAAACACATTGATAACATCCGTCGGAAGATGTATCACAGAGATTTAACAACAACAACAACAACAAACACATACACACACACACACACACACACACACACACACACACACACACAAACAATGGAATAGGCGAAAACTAATTTTTTTTATTCATCTAAATGAAGATGATTTCACGCAATAAATCGATCTCATTGGAGATTAGGAAATGTATTCTCCCGTACTAAATAGAACCTTTTTTTTTTCAACATAATCCTGTGGCTCCTAGACATTTAGGGAACATAGCAAAATATTTCATTGGGGCACCTGAGATGTAGTTTTACAGCGGATTCCCTAGAATTCATTAGCCAGCTAAAAAAGAGCAATGCATATGTTTCAAAAAGAGACAAAGGATCGAAAGACAAAGTATCAAAAACATCAGGTAGAGAGCTGGCATTTTTGTTGGTCATGTTGAGGAAAGAGAAACAAAACTGCAACATGTTGTTACCTAATAGAAAACAAAAAGTCTTAAACATTTTGTGACCATTGAAAAGATCGGGTGGGGTGTGGGTGGGGGGGGGGGGGGGCAGTGAATGCATAGTGGCCGTGGTATAGCGGCTAGACGCTCGCCTGCGAATCGGAAGGTCGTGGGTTCAGGTCTTAGCGGAGCCGAACGTTTTTTTTTAAATGACCTTGGCTCCCAGGTCGAGCCAGCCTTGAGCCGATCACACCACCCACTGAGTGTCAATGATCTATAAGATATAGGTCTAGTCTTATATGCCCAATACGCATGAAAGAGTGGAAAAGTATCTTTCACATTTACTCATATATATATATTATATATATATATATATATATATATATATATATATATATATATATATATATATATATATATATATATATATATATATATATATATATATATATATATATATACTAGCTGTACCCGGCTACGCGTTGCTGTGGCATAGTTTCGCTAAATAAAAATGAAAGAAAATAGAAATCGCACGTGTCTAATACAATCATTGTCTGCTCATAGAGATAGTCTTTGATCCGCGCCCCCCCCCCCCCACACCCACCACCACAACTAAATCCACCTACTACTCTCTCCCTTATCAAAGGTTTCTGGAAAAGAAAGGCAATGGAAATCGCACGTGTCTAATATAGATAATGTCGCAATCATTTTCTGCACAGATATAGAGATAGTCTGGTTTTCCAACTTTAGAACACGCACCTTATAATTGTGTCTTTATATTAGTGGTCGTTTAAATGGTGTTATTAGCACAGTAACAAAAATGGTAATTTGGTTATTACATGCTAAAGCTGTTTGTATTTTTATAGAGGACGGAAGTAAAGCTACAACTGTACTTGTGAATAACAAAGTAAGTCGTAAAAAAATAGAAAAGCGGAGGTAGCGTAAGTAAAATATAAAAAAATTAGGTAATGAGAACTCGAAAATCACGTGTAAAGATCTTTAGGTTCTCTTAAATTTAAGTCATTACCCCTCCCCTCCCCTCTTCCACCGACTACTGATCTCTCCCTCTCCGAAGGATTTGAAAATCATTATTGGCGATATTTTTTGTTGCTGTAACTGACATTGATATCCCTGTCCATCCGGACTAAAATGGGGAGCAGGAATTGTAATAAGTAGTGAATGGGGCTAGTGTAATATTTACCACATCAATATTCAAGTACCAGCACAACTACTACCACGACCACCACCACAGTAGCTAAAATAATGTCACTGTTATCTGTGTTACCATCGGAGTAGACAGAGAGTCGTGAGCCAGAAGATTTGGTTCCGCATGGCTAGTGCTGTCGCCACAGACTGGTCAGGTTAGGATGTATAATTTCACTTGCCGACAGAGGAACGCCATAACCTTACCGGCGGTCTTCACATGAGAGCACTATGATGTAACAGCCCAACCACAACTATTACTGCTGCTGCTACTTTAAGTGGGTAAAGCAGTTACTGTGACTTAAAGCTCTCTCAGTTAATAGTTTACCCCCCCCCCCCCTCCCCTCCGCCCTTACATTCACCGACAACTCTTTCCATCATTGAAGTAGTTGGGAGAAAAAAACAACACTTGAAAAGCAAATGAACACAGGAAAAAGACACCATAATTAGGAAATGAACGCTATGGTAAACAGCACAGCTTAAAATTCTAACGCAGATGAAATAACTAAATCTAAATAAAAATAAATGGAAAGCTACAACATTTCAGCGTAACCATGCAATCGGAAAGTTTAAAAATGCAATCTTAAGTATGCGAAATGGTCAAATTTAATTATCAAATGGTTTACCCATTTACTTGTCTTTTTTTTTTTTTTTTTTTTTTTTAAGTATTAAGAGCAACATTGCTAGTGTTGTCACCACAACAGAGCAGATGGGGATATTATTTTAGTCCAGGGTAAAAAACAAAAAATTAACTACTGCGGATTTGAACCCTGGTCTCCCGCACGGGAACCCAGTGTTCTAACTATTCGACCAAGCATCCACTTAATCGGAGCACCGAAAAGAGAACTAAACTATTAGAGATGTGTGTCCCTACTACTGTGTCCCGATTATAACACAACTCCAAACCGCAGCCAATTGTTTTTTCGTAGACAGATACTCCAGATATATAAATGAAACGGCACAATAATAGAAATCGCACGTGTCTAACACGGTTAATGAAGTTAATGTCGCAGTCAATGTCTGCGCCGACGTCGGCGTCGAGATAGTCCTTGATGCCCCCCCCCCCCCCCCCCCCCCCCCAATCGAGGGTTGTTTGAAAAAAAAACTGAAAATAGAAATCGTGTTTTAAATGGTTATTGTGGCAAATATAGAGATAGTCTTGTTTGCTGTACCACGACCTACTCTATGTATTAGAGAAGGCGTTGGCTGCACGTAACTCGCCGGCGAATGGTGGAAGCCTTGCGTTATGACCACGGTGCATGCGCAATTACTAAAGTGGCTATAATTAGAAATCACAAAAATTATAAATATTAGTTTCGAATATTATGGCATAAATTGTGGTCACCTATCTCTAACAGTGACAGGTTGAATTTCAAACCATGAAGGTTGAACATCCGGTATCAAAACAAACATATCCTGAAAATTTCAGCTAAATCGGTTCAGTAGTTTCCGAGTCTATAGGGGACAAACAAACACACAAACATTGATTTATATATATATATATATATATATATATATATATATATATATATATATATATATATATATATATATATATATATATATTATTTATTTATTTATTTATTTATTTATATGGAACCAAGATGTGAATCTGTGATATAATGCTAAGTTCATATTTTTAAAACCAATCAGCAGCACTCAGTGGATGATGTGGTCAACACTTGCTTGTCGCCTGTACTTCCCAGGGATTTACATGGTATCTTTTCAA